AAGCGGGTCACGCTTGAGGCTGAGGGCGAGAGGGATGGAGTTGAGGGGGAGGGGGGAGGGGAGGGGGCGATGGAGGTCGTTGATGTACCGGACGATGTGGGCGGGGCGGAGGTGAGGCTCGTAGCGAGCTCTGCACCGGAAGGAGTAGAGAAACCCGAACCCGCGCCCAACGAGCCCGCCCCACCACCTCCATCCGACGCACCCAAACCCGCCCCAACGCCCGACGCACCAAAGCCCGACCCCGCGCGCGACAAATCCCTAACGCGCACCGGCCCAGGCCGCGAGCGCGCCCCCTCGAAATCCTCCGCCTCCTCCCTCAAATCTAAGCCTACACGCTCCGGCGCGAACTCGCCCAACCCGCGCCCCGCGCACCCGCCCAACCTCGTCCTGCCTCTCTTCGCCGAGACGTTCGGCTCGCCCCCGCGGTCTTTGCCTCTGCCTGAGGAGCAGACGCCCAAGGGCGGAGAGGAGGGGAGGGCGAAGGAGAGGCCCAGTGGGAGTGGGACGCTCGCGAAGGCGGGGCGCTTGTTGGGCGCTTATTGGCGGCAATCGGGTGGAGGAGGGGGGACGGTCAAGGGGAAGGGAAAAGCCCGCGAACGCGACCCGCTCCCGTCCTCCCACTCCGCCTCGCAAATCGAGGCAAAGGAGCTTCGCAGCGAGCGCGATCGCGAAGAGGAGCGAGCCGTCGAAGAGCTCGCAAGGCGGCTGCCAAGGACGTGGGCCGTTAAGGAGGGGGGCGGGGTCAGTGTTAGCGAGTTGGCTGTCGGGAGCGGTGCTGGTGTTGTTGGCGGTGCTGGTGCAGTGGTGGGGAAGGAGGGGGGAGGGGGAGATGTGTTGAGGGGCGCGAAGAGGGCCGTTGTTATTGGGATTCATGGGTGGTTCCCTGGTACGTTCTCCCTCTCTCCCCCATCCCCCCATCCCTCCTCTCCTCTCACTGTAGTATACCACCGCTGAGGCGTGATGCACAGGCACCCTGATCAAATCGCTCGCGGGCGAGCCGACGGGCACGTCCTCCAAGTTCGCCGCGATGGCCACGTCCGCGCTCGAGTCGTTCGCGGAGCGGCACGGCGTGGTGTGGGAGAAGGTCACGAGCTGCCCGTTGGAGGGCGAGGGGAGGATCGGGGAGCGGGTGCAGCGGTGCGTTATTTTTTTCTCTTTTTTCCCCTACTCTCTTCTTCCCCCATCCCCCCTCCTTCTCCGATCGCACCCAGAAGAAGAAGACGGCGCTAATGACTATCGTGCAGATTGTACGACGCCCTAACATCCAACGCCGAATGGATGTCCGACCTCCACGCCGCCGACGTCCTCTTCGTAGCATGCCACTCCCAAGGCTCGATCGTCAGCACGCACCTGCTCGACAGACTGCTCGCCGACGGGCACATCCACACTTCCTCCTCTTCCTCCCTCGCATCAGATGCCGAAGATACACTCAGGACATTGGCTGAGGGCAACGTCCCGCACAAGAGAAAGGTGCAGCGGGTGGTGTGTTTAGCTCTGTGCGGGATCCATCTGGGCCCGCTGCGGTACCTCGGCTCCAGCAGCGTTCTGCGGCCGTACTTCGACGTGCGTACCCTCTCCCTTCTTTCCACCTTTTTCATCGTGAGGAGGAGAAGCTGACGATGCGGTTGTAGTACGTGGAGGGCGCGGCGGCGAAGGAGCTGTTCGAGTTCCAGAACACGGAGAGCGCGGTTAGTAAGGAGTACGTCGCGGCGCTCGGGAGGGTGTTGGCTGCTGAGGTGCGT